CAGCCCTTCACAAGTCCACTGCTGAACATAGGCCTCCCCCAAGGAATGCCACAAATCACGGTCCTGAGCCACCTCCATCCATCGACTTTCTGCATGTCTTACCAGGTCGTCACTCTATGTAGTGGGGGGACGCCCTACACTTCGTCTGCCGGTACGAGGCCGCAACTCGGGAACCTTTTTTCCCCATCGGTTGTCGGTTCTTCAAGCTATATGGCCGGCCCATTGCCACTTCAGCTTAACTAATCCGTTTGGCTATGTTGGTTACTCTGGTTCTACTGCGGATATCATCATTTTTGAGTTTATCACACAGAGAAACGCCGAGCATATTACATTTTAAGAAAAAGCGTTAATTTACACTTGAAATGCTTTTCTAAAGTGTTCACGAACTTTGTTTCTCGTAATGCCGACAATCCGTTCCCGCCCGCCCATTTTATATCAACCGTCGTTTTATTCATATATTTTTGTGCATGGTAGAGCCACGATGCTGCTGTATTATTGCTGCAACACGAATGAGTCAGCTGAACTGGGGAAGGTTCACGCTCCCACAGAATACCAGCTTGAAATAGCATCATTATGCCGCTGTGTTTCGTATAGTATGTGACGAGAAGCGAATACCCTTTTACTGAAAACGAGGCATCCCATCTTAATCTTGACGGCTGAAAACGCATCTGCATTTTGATTCTTAATTAATGATAAGTGTGTGTCTGTAGGCGTCAATATTCAGTATATTAACAGGTGGACGGTTGAGAAGCTTGGGCTTTTTCAACCGACTTCAAAAAGTGAGAGGTACTCAATTCGATTGTATGTTTTTTATATGTGTTACCTTATAACTTTTTTCTCGATGGACCGATTCCATAGATTATTATTTGAAAGCTGGTGCTTCTCATGTGGCTTCATATAAATTTGATCAAGGACTGATTAGTAGTTTTTGAATTATCCTTAATAATTTATATTGAAGTCGGTTGTACAATTTTTTTTACTTTACTACTTGTTCTTAAGGATCTTGCATTTTTGATGTGTAACATCTTTCCTCTCGCTTTCTCGCAATCATCGAGAGTGACTTGGACAAAAAGGACGGAAGTATGTAACAGAAAGCCGGGGAATTGATTTGACCAATGAGCGCGCGCGGTTGTAGTAAAATTTGCCGTTGTTATATAAACTAATTTATATGTGTAAAAAGTATATTAATAAATGTATGTTGATAATAAGTGTCTGTAAAAAGTGCAGATCATTGCTAAAAATGCAAGTGAGTAACAATGAATAATTATTGGGATAAATATTTCAGCGTTTAGCTTTTATAAATTTTGAGCTTAATTTCGGTCACTGATGAATTGATTTTTTTTTTGAAAAAAAAATCAAATAAATAGCTTTTCCCAGGATATAATGTTAATGTTGATTATTGCTAAAGTGATATGTCAGATTTTACACATTATATGGCTCACTCGTTTTTTTTTTTATTTACACGCTGTATTCGACATTTGATATTACAAATAAACTCCTACTATATTTGATTATACGCGTACTAAAGCCGCTTTAAAAGGTTTATGTTTGCAATTGTACTTATACGGCTATTTTAATCCTATATAAAATTACATAACCTACATTTCGTAAAAAATTAACTTAGCATGTTGCCGGTCAGGAACCTGCAACTTTTTCATTCAATTTAGCGTCATTAGTGCTTTAACTTAAATCGAAATCGATATTATAGTAACATTCTTTGTTGATCATTAAGTGAGATTACTTTGTGTGTGCTTGTGTTTTAAATTTATGTTTGAGTTGAGAATTAAAAAAGAACTATACTTACGTTATTTTATCAATAATCAAATAAGATATTTTAAATTTAAATTGGCAATATATTTTGGTGATTAGAGACGACCAATTAAAATGTGATTCTGGCGGCGATTCTCTAGCTTTAATTAGCTCAGTAGGCGTCGTGAAATACGGCAACGGGAAACTAGAAATAAGAACTAAACAACAACTGAAAATAAAAAATTGCGGCTGCCAACCCACCTACCAAACGTTGCAACTGTGGCAAAAACCACTCTATGAGGCAATCTGTAGGGGAGGCCTATATTCACAAGTGGACTTTTTCTAGCTGTAATGAATGAATCAATGGAGCTCAGTCGATGTGATTGTCGCGATATGGTTTATTCTTTTCTTTTTCTTTTTTTTTCTTTTAAAATTCTGAAAAGGACTATAAATAATTTTATAATATAATTCGATAAAACACTTAAATTTATCAATAATTATATTATTTACTAAATCGTTTTTCTTTTGAAAACATTAGGCTTGGTAAAAGTAAAAAAATTGTTACAAATACACAGAAATAAATTTCTTAATAAAAATTCTCTTAGGTAATATTAAATTTTAATACGTTTTGTGTGAAAATCATAATTTAAACCGACAATATAAGAAATATACTTTTCACAATTACATGTAATAACGTTATTGTAAACTTAAATACTACTGATCTATTAACTCATCATCGAAGATAAGATTTCAACGTCAACGTTTGTATTCAGACAACCAATTTCCATTTTATTTAAATTTATACAAACGGGAATCACGATCTTTAGCGAAAAATTGCTTACGTAAAAAAATTGTTTACAGTTTATGAAAAAAAAAATCTCATATAAAAAGAAATTTTTCGTAACATACTTTTTTGCCTAGCTAGAACTAGAACTAGAACAAATTAAAAAAAATAAAAAATATATCTACAATTCATTCTTTCATTCTTATTTATCTTATTTTTATGTAAATAAAAGATACATATTATTTCATTAACTGAGCTCATAATTAGTTCAAGTTTTTACAAGTGCATTCATTTCATTGCATGCTATAAATATCTACTGGAATTAAAAATGTTATCGCCGCTGAACGTTAAGTGCTACTATTTAGTCATCCGTTTTTTTTTTTAGTTTCGTTTACAAATGCCTTTCGCCTACAAATCGCGAGGTTCTCGGTTGAAAAATGGCAGCGACAGCCAACTGCGATAATGTAGCAAGCGGAGCAATCCATCAGTCGTACGGCGGAAACCCCTCTTACCCCTTGCACAAAGGCTTCTTTACGACCAAGTTCAGCCATTAGAGATTTTGCTACTTACCGTTTCTGGAGTGTTTGAGTCATCAGTGATATTTTTGTTGACTACAATATGCTTTATTTTTGTTCATTTTAACAATACAATTTTTTTTGTTATCGTTACATGATTTGCGGATATTAAATTTAAGGAAATAGCTATTACAGTTTTTAATAAAAATAATAATTATAATATGATATGATATTGCAATCACTTCGTCCGTATGTATTACTACAGGTACATGATTGTTAATTTGTTCTATGTTAAACCCTGTAATATTAGTTGAGCCCCATATATATTAAATATAAGGAATATTTTCAAAAAAAAAAAACTTAATAAAATAATAATATTTCATAGCCCAATAAACTTCATGTACAGCTAAGTGTGTTTCAAAAGTTTGCGTTACGAAAATTCTTTGCCCATCATTTATTCTGGGTAGCTGTAAGTGTAGTAATCACTTACAGCTTCCCAAAACTAATGATGGGATGGGAAAATTAGTTCATTTGTACATTCAATATATTTATAATATTAAGCAGGAGTCTGACCTATTATAATTAATTGAAACAAATTTTTAACATAAAACTGAAATAACAAACTAAGTTTCAGTCCACCTGATGGTAAGTGGGGTACTGTAGTACATGAAAGCCTGCGTTCAGACGGACTCATGTCATTGCATTTCTCTGACGCAGTCTCTGAAGCAGTTCGAAGTCAGGAATTTGGCAGTGTTTCACACCGTGTATCAGAAAGCACGTAAAGCCATTGGTCTTGCTTCTGATCTCTCTCCGGTTAGATATGGGGCTGCCGTCCTGCCGGACTATAAGAGTGAGGAAATAGATTGCGCCTGTGCTTGCGCACACAGTCTCCCTTGAGACTGGCTGGCTGAAATTCTGTCTAGAGTATATATATTATTATAACGTCCCATACATTGTAAATTTTTTTTTTATCCTTGACCTTGTCACCAGTCACCACACATATTTTCACAACTGCGTGACTGTCCCTATGATTCTTAAACTGCATCCGCCTACCATCAACCTTATCGTATAAGCTTTTATGTCATCGAGCACAGGACTAACGATTAATAATATTATTTTATCCCGTACGTGCTGTTGAAAACTGTCGATAGTGTAATAAAATAAGTGCTGTAGTGTAATCATCCAAAATAAAATGAAAAATATATACTTCTGACCGTTTTTTGAGAAGATTTTTTATGAATCCCATTTTTTTATAGGATAAGGATGACAAACGAGCACACAGTCCACCTGATGGTTAGTGGTTGTTGTGGCCCATAGACTATCCACATCTATCCTAATTAAAGAATTAGCTATTTATGCTGATATTCTGTGAGAGCGTGATCCTTCCCCGGTCGAGTCGTACCCATTCGTGCTACAACTATACCAGTAATATAGCTGCAGCATGGCTCTACCATGTACAGAAAATCGTTTTTTTTGAGATTTTTTATGAATGTCATTTTATGGTTATGGAAATTTGTTCTATACTTTTAATGTTGCTCTGATTGGACGCTTTATATATTTTTCTGGTCCAACAATTACTTATATAATTAGCCAATGAAACAGAAATTCATAAAGATACTTATTTATATATTCCACCGTCTACTGTTACACAGTCTGCAGATAAATATTTGAAATTAAATTCGGTTCTTAAGCAAGGTAACAGAACAGAAACCAGGAATAGCAGAGGCTTGACTTAAAGTATTACAAATTTTAAATCCGCCTTTTACCGTAACAACTGAACGCTTTGCCTTTCCTTTAAAAAGTGTGTGTTATGTTTTTAGTTACCTATATTTACAAAAATTAATTTTTTTATGATTTTTAGTGAAAAATTCGACAATTTTGTCAAATTATATTTTATATATATAAGTTATTTAGCTTAACTTTATGTTAAAACATGTTTTCTTTTTTTACAGAATTCAATTTGAAGACATGGAAGTGTACTACACACGTGCGGTAAAATATCAGAGATGAATCAGAAAACTAGAAAGAAAATTGTCATCTTTAGACGTGACCTGGCAAATTTATAGCCTCCACGTTTTAATATTGATGTAATGTAGAGGTGGAAGAGTGGAAGAGACTATATAACTGTCATATCGATAAAGCATATCACAGCAAAGTTGTGAACATAATTAAAAAACATATCTTTCTATTAAATACTAGTCACCGCTTGTGATTTTAGTTATATAAAATTTTGCTCAAATCCTTTTAAAATAACTCCATAGTAATAAATAATACAGTTTAAGACGGAAGGAAGAGATTTATTAATTGCTCAGTTCATATCAAAAGAATTCATATCCAAGTATAAAATATAAAAATGAAGTACTATAGTATGTTTTTCCTGCGAAGGCGAACATTGATATTGAAAGCAGTGTTAATATTGACAGCATTATGGTTTATGGTAGCGTTATTAACAACCAATGGTGGAACGAGGAACGCTATAGTCGCACCACCTATTGAGTACGACGATGCCGAAGCAAAACCACTGAAAATGGCCAAGCCAACATCTGGGAAAAAGAAAAGTGAATCATATGGAAACAACTTGTCTGACGGTAAGATCTTTAGTGTATTCTTATAGGAGCATGAGCTATTTGTTGTAAGCGTATCTATTAATTTTTCTTTTTTATTTATTAAAAAAAAACAATTGCACGATATTAATTTTAATTTCTCGTTTAAATAGTCAAGAAGTTTGGTTTAGGGCTTACAGTATTAATGTACATATTCATATAATAAGTAGTACTAGAAACACGTAACATATTAATTATTTATGTTAAATGTAATCTAACTAAACAGTCTGATTATTTATTTTAATGATCCAGATATCGAAATATCTGAATTTTAAATAACAAACCAAGCGAAACGTTTTCATTTATAATTTTAATACCCTCATCTGTCTTTTCTCACAAGAACAAAAATTTCCTTTATTGTTTTCCATTGCGCTGTCACGCGATTCTTATATCCTTAATAAATTACAAACTCCCTTTATCTAGTATTATCTACATTCTTTAAGGAAACTCAATGGAAACGATTGTCTTTCGAATAGCAGGGCAATAGAAATGTTAATGAGGGAAGACATTACGGAATATTTGAATGAATACAAAGTCGAGATTCCTTCTGACTCATGATCTTAATACAATGTTCAGACGTAATAATGGCTTTGTATTCTTAATATGACTAATATAATTGCATGCTCGCTTGTCACGGGCACAGCTGTTGACTTTGTTTTAACATTATGCATGTTATAAAAGCCTTTATTCATAACAGCGCAGTCGCGGGTCGATTGGATTGGTCGGATCGCAGGAGTCCCCGAAGGTAATAATTGCTTATTTTCTTAGTTAATTTTCACCATTGCTTGATTTTTATTTATTTTGGTTATATGTATCGGGTTATTCAATAGCTTTGTAATTTATTCCAACGATATATTTATACATAGGTACAATAATCAACCATCAAGAAATATTTTTGCTTTAGTATGGTGGCGGCGTTAAAGAATCCATCACTCCATTTCGTTTCGTTGAATGGTAGGTTAAGAGAAGCCTTTGGGAAATGCCAGAAAAGTCTTTTGACTTCAAATAGATACTAGGCGGTAGGAGTCATTCTTTGCTTAAGGATATTTTTGGATAGATCCCTATAGATCCTCTTAAACATTTCTGGCGCCAAGCAGCAGTGCGTGTTTCGGTCTGAAGGCTAAGAGAGCAGGTATAATTTTTTTTATAGGATAGGGTGACAAACGAGCACACAGTCCACCTGATGGTAAGTGGTTGCTGTGACCCATAGACATCTACATTTATCCTCAATAAAGAATAAAAATGCAGATGCGTCGTCACCTGTGAGGACCAAGATGGAATGCCTCTTTTCCAGTAAAATGGGTCTCCGGTTCTCTGCGCTCACCATACGAAACACAGCAGTGTCAAGCTGCCATTTTACACTGGTATTCTGTGAGAGCCTGGTCTTTTCCGGTCGAGCCGACCCATTCGTGCTACAACTATACTACTAATATAGCTGCAGCATGGCTCTACCACGTATAAATTAAATGACTAAGAGACATTCTGTCTTATTACTTTCAAGTCCGTTGAAGGCTGTGGTAACCACTAACCATTAGATGGACTAGTCGTTCGCTTGACAATTCTATTTTATTAAAAAAATAATATAAATTAAGCGCCAGATGCAAAATACCAGATTCTATAAAAAAAATTCTTATGCATTGTAGAAACATGCTGCAGCGATTTTATGGTTGTAGCACGAATAGGCCGGCTTGACCGGGCTAGAACCACGTTCTCACAGAATACCAGCGTAAAATAGAAGCTTAATGCTGCTGTGTTTCGTATGATGAGTGTAGAGAACCGGATACCTTTTTTTACCCATATGTATACAGTAAAGTAAAGTAAGCTAAAGTACTAATATGTGCTTTACTATCTTGGGCTGCAACATCTTTTAACATCAGGATGGAGATAGTAGTCTAGCGCTGACTTATAATGGCTAAAAACATATAATTTTTCATGTTGTTATCGAAGTTAATTTATGGACTAAATTAACAAAAAAAAATTTAAATTATATTTATATTTTTAATTTAGTTTTTATTAGTTAAGCTATTAAACGTATCAAATAGTGAATTGCGTAGAAATAGGTTTCATTTTACTATGTATAGATTTTTAACAACTTTCACACGATAGTCTATGAAGGGATATTGGACTGCAATCGACATTAATGATTCACATCCTGTAGGCCTAGGTGTAATCGCCGCTCCGGGTTCGAACGACGCACCCGGAGAGCTTGGTCAACCGGTTGTGTTACCAAAGAATATAAGCGAAGAAGCTAAACTAGCCGTATCGGAGGGATGGAAGAAGAACGCCTTTAATCAGTATGTCAGTGATCTTATTTCAATACGGAGAAAGCTGCCTGATCCGAGGGACGAGTGGTGAGATCTTAATAAATATTAATTTTTTATCTTATTTATATTAATATTAAGGTAAAAACTTTGAAGCGTGTTTTGACAGCTCCGTCGCGCAGTGTGTCTTAGCAATCAATGAGTTGCAGCGCCGTGGGCCGCGAGTTCGAATGTCGCACAAAACAAGTATTTGTTAGGCCTACTAATAATTTTTCCAGGTCTGAATATTTGTCCTTGTGAACTTTATGTATGTAAATTGCCCTCACAATACAGGAGAAAATGTTAGTGTGAAGATTAGATTAAAAAAAGCTTTCGTAGCGTTAAAACTTATGAACATTCGATGATACAGCATGTCAATGGTTTGAATATTTTAGCTTGGACATTTTTGAGGCGGTCATTTGTTCAACTCATATAATTTTCTATAGAGATTTTATGCCATTTTTTTTAATTTCCCGATAGCCTCATAATGTATTGGTATCATAGATTATATTGCGCCGTAACGAAACTCTATTTTATGGTTTGCAGGTGTAAAAAACCCGGCCGTTATTTAGAAGATCTTCCACAGACTTCTGTTGTCATATGTTTTCATAACGAAGCATGGTCGGTTTTACTTCGAACAGTTCACTCAGTGATAGACAGATCACCCCCTCATTTGATAAAGGAGATTATTCTCGTTGACGATTTTTCGGACATGCGTAAGTCGTTAAATTAATATTTTCTGAATATGCGTTATAAATATGACGACACAAAATGAAATTTTAGATAAAGTAATAATAAAACTTATTTAAAATTGATATGAGAATAGTTATGTTGATAGACCTTTTTAATTTTTTGCCCATTTATATTCAAATATGTATATGTAACATCATTTTTATATTCTTTGTACATTTTTTAAAAGCTTTCATATCTGTTACAGCTCATTTGATGCAACAATTGGACGATTACATGTCTTCAATTCCTAAAGTTCGGATAGTTCGAGCAACACGTCGAGAAGGTCTCATAAGGGCTAGGCTTCTAGGAGCTCGATATGTAACAGCACCTGTCCTAACTTACCTAGACAGTCACTGCGAGTGTACTGAAGGTAAAGAGTAACGAAATCTTCATCTATTTTACGATTTGTTCCCATTAAATTTTAATAACATTTTATTTCCATTAAATTACAGGATGGTTGGAACCGCTATTAGATAGAATTGCAAGAAACAAAACTACAGTAGTATGCCCTGTTATTGACGTTATAGATGACAATACCTTAGAATATCACTACAGGGACTCATCTTCGGTCAATGTTGGTGGTTTCGACTGGAATCTCCAGTTCAATTGGCATCCAGTACCAGCAAGAGAAAGAGCGAGGCACAAACATACAGCAGAGCCTGTGTGGTCTCCGACTATGGCTGGTGGTCTTTTTGCTATAGATAAAGAATTTTTCGAAAGACTGGGAACTTACGACAGCGGATTTGATATATGGGGTGGAGAGAACTTGGAATTATCTTTTAAGACGTGGATGTGCGGAGGGACTTTGGAAATCGTTCCCTGTTCCCATGTTGGTCATATATTTAGGAAACGTTCGCCGTACAAATGGCGAACTGGGGTAAATGTGTTGAAGAAAAACTCAGTCCGTTTAGCAGAGGTATTGGTTGCTCTTTAGTTCCAGCAGTAATTTTATCTTATAATTTAGATAAATGCTAAAATATTTTTCTGCAATGTTTCAGGTATGGTTAGATGACTACGCTAAGTACTATTACCAAAGGGTGGGTAATGATAAGGGAGATTATGGCGATATTACTGGTAGAAAACAGCTGAGAGAAAACCTTGGTTGCAAATCTTTTGAATGGTATTTAAAAAATATATACCCTGAGTTATTCATACCTGGGGAGTCTGTCGCACATGGTGAGGTATGTAGCCGAGCGTTTATTTTAATTACTGTACTAATAAATTAGTTATGATTCAAAAATTACGAAGAAACGTGGTAGCCCAGGTGCTAAGCGCTTGCAAAAAATTACACAGATGCTAGCAACTCGGGTTCGATCTCCGCCGGCACTTGCTCGACGGTGAAGGGAAACATCGTGAGGAAACTTGCATGTCTGAGAAATAAGAAAAGAATATTTCGAAGATATGTGAAGTACGCCAACACACTTGCCTAAAACCCTCTCAGAAATGAGAGGAGGCCTGTGCCCAGGGGTGGGATGTATATAGGTTGGTACTTTAAATATTTGCGATTGAGAGGAAAGTTTCTCGAATGGTGGCCTCGGTCTGGCAAGTGCAGCTTTGTGCTTCCCACTACTGGGTGGAGTTGCGACCTGATGGATGGATGCTATAGTAGCTAAGGATTGTGATTTATGGCTATCTATGGCCTATGTACAGTACATAGACTTGTGATGGGCTGTTATGTTGATGATTACTATAAAATATATTTACGTTAAAGAGCATTTATTTCAGATAATATTAACAGTAATTCAGGTTATAATAATATCGTTATTCTGTATGTGATGCCATATTTAAAAATTGTTAGATGTCTTGAAATAATGAGTGCAAACATTAACACGTGTTCTTCCGAATTGTTAATTATGCAGATCAGAAATGTCGCCTTCCAAAAGACTTGTTTGGACTCTCCTACTCGCAAGTCCGACCATCATAAGCCCGTCGGACTATACCCGTGTCACCGGCAGGGAGGAAATCAGGTCTTTAGCTGTTCAAAATTCGCATTTATGCGGCAGTACCATCGTTTTAGAACTGTTTAATGGATTTTTTTTTTGTTTCGATTCGATATTTTTTTCTTTTTTGCTATTGCACTCTTTGATCTTAAGCACATCTCTGAACACGTTAACGTATGAGATTACACATAAAGCACGGAATGATTATATGTTTCTTAATATGATTTTGTACCGCTGCATGCTAGATACGAAATCAAGCGTTCGGTAGTCATTATTGCATCGACGGTGACACTGTAGACGATGTTGAAGACGCAACAGGTCCGCTAATGATCCACAAATGCCATCGCGGCGGTGGTAATCAGGTACCTCAATAAAATGACAGATCATGTGGTATTTATTGATTGGGGTACTGTGTCATTACATCTTATATTATTTTCAAATAAACGGATCAAGTAGGTAGTTGGTATAGTTTTACCATCTATTTTCACTGTAACGTTATCACTTAAAATGCACCAGGGCTTGAGTGATGATGTTAAACGCACGCTTGCTTTAGCACGCCTTTTTATGATTATCAATGGCATTAGATCGCGAATCCTTCTACGGAAATGTGCATCGACTCGAATGCAGCGCCCGAGGACATGAAGAAACCTGTCAACGTTTGGCCTTGTCATGGGGAATACGGCAATCAGGTTTGTCTAAGGATGCCGTCACCATTTTACATTTATCTAGCGCTTTCACTTAACTCATAGTTGGTTGTTGGTGCTCATCTTTACTCTGGTAAGTTGGACGTAGTTGCACTTAACTTGCATCTGTAGAAAACTAATATGTTAGTATTTAATTTGCTTGTTCGTAGCCAACTAAGCTTTTATATTTTATTTTTTCGCTGTATATTAATATAAATATAATTAGAATCAACGTACGTACAAATTAATCACTTTCGATTAAGTAACAGTCGAATTAACTTAAACTAGAAGTTGTAAGTTAATTAGAAAAATTTGTGTACCCTTCCCGTGTAATGACCGACCAATCATTTCTTAAACATTGGTACTGCCGCTACGTTTCTACTATATAAGTGTCGTTAATGTTTACTTGTATTTATTTTTTCAATTATCTATTATATATGTTAGAATATATATATTATATTAAGTAGAACAAAAGTTTGTCAAAATATATTATATTTGGGTTGTTATTTCTTAGTAAATAATTATTTACAATAATGTAAAATACTTCTACATACATTTCCTGACCTTTTAAATAGTGTATTTATGTATATATGTATGTGTTAAAAATAAGCAACTCTACGTCTTTCTTTTTCAATATGCTTTTTTTATTAATTATACTTTTACCATGGAAAAGGGAAAATGGCATGACTAATATACGTATACTTTTAAATGAACATATCTGTCTTGATTACTTTTAAAGAATAATGAATTTGATGATAGAGGTTAAAATATTTTGCTACCACCGAAGTGCAATTTATCATTATTTAATAAATAGATCAAACAGGAAATAGTTTTTTTAAATTACGAATAATAAAAAAAAACTATTTCCTCTAAATACATTGACCAAAATTCCATTCGTAAAATTGTATATACGCATATATAAAGATCATTTCAAAATTTTAGGAAACATTTCATTCATACAACATTTATATTATGTGCTGTGCTATGTGTAACATTAACATAATTTGGTTGTGTTAATATTTTATTATAAATTTTCAGTATTGGATGTATTCAAAGAATGGAGAAATACGTCGTGATGAGACGTGCCTTGATTACTCGGGTCACGATGTTGTCTTGTATCCTTGTCACGGTGCCAAGGGCAACCAGCTGTGGCTCTACGATCATAATGTAAGTCTTGATATATTAGAATATTTTGTTTTCAAATAAAAGGAAGAAAAATATTTACGCGAACATTTGTGTGTTGCTTGTGTAAAGAAGACTACCTAATGATTTAATTATCATGAACAGCCTTTGAAGTTCCATCGCCTGATATACTATTATGTATTAAGTATTTATTTTACTACGTGGTAGTATATTATGTCTTCAGTAAGAGTATATTTCGAAGACGTGAAGTTTGCCAACAAGCATTGGGACAGCGCGGCGGACATTTCCTTGCTCTAAAACCCTCTCAGAAATGAGAGGAGGCCTGTGACCAGTAGTGGGACGATATAGGCTGTAATTTTAACTTAACTTTATGAATTGGTTGGCTCGATCAAAGAAGGAACACGCTCGCACTGAGTACCAGCTTAAAATAGCACCACGTGCTAATGTGTTTCTTATGTTGAATAATTATATATGGTGACACTTTTTAATAATAACTAGACATTTTAGTAAGTCTTCAGAGGTGAAATCGCGTCTTTTCTAATAGAATATGGATGACACAGTCCAACTGATGGTAAGCGGATGCTGAGTTCCATAGACATCTGCATTTATTCTCGATAAAGATTCATGATGCAGATGCATTGTTACCCCTGAGAACTACGATAGAATATCTCGTTTCCAGTAAAAAGCATCTCAGGTTCTCTACACACACCCACACCATACGAAACACATTAGCACTAAGCTGCTATTTTACGCTGGTATTTTGTGAAAGCGTGGTCTTACCCCGGTCGAGCCGACCCATTCGTGCTACAACAATAATATGGCTGCAGCTTGGTTCTACCACGTCTGCATTTTAATTCTTAACTAAAGATAAATATATAGGCTACAGTTATGAATGACAAGCTCGTGGAAACTGTCCATGCGGTCGGAAATAAGTTTTTCAAGACCCGCCGCAGAAGAACACAAAAACTCTCCGATCACACTCTTAATCTCATGGCTGTTAGACGGGAGATGAAGCTGCAGTCTTCAGTGGATTTGATAGCATACAGACAACTGAAAAGACAGATCTCCAAACTCATGCGGCGGGACTTTAATACTGCTCGTATTGAAGAAGCGATTGAGTGGAACCAGGGCCCCAAAGCCTTTGCCAGAGATCTGTCTGCCAGAAAGTGCCAACTGTCTAAGCTGAAGACCGAATGTGGTAGCAACGCTTCCGGGACATCTGAGATTTTGAGTGAAATTGAGAGGTTCTATGGGCAGCTGTACACATTTTTAATTCCGTCCTCCATGGTGGCACTACTCCGGAGGCGTGGAGCAGAAGTGCGGTGTTCTTGTTTTTTAAGAAATCTCTCTTGAAAATCTACAACAGTGTAGGTTGATATTTGGGCAACACGTGGCTTAAATGAGGTTTTTCCTTTTCTCTCTCCCTGGGGTTCCGTCTGGATAGATACCACCATCTTTCTTATTTTTGCTGATAAGCAGTACTGCTGTGTTCCAGTCAGAGAAGTAAAGAAAGCCAAAATGATAACGTGCCGTGAAGCATGCCATCTTTTCCTCGGACGCGACAATGCATATTTATTTAGATATGGGTGCGGAATGCAGATGTACGTGGATTGTACTAGCCGCTGACTATTAGGCGGGTTGTACGCTCTCTAAATATTATTAAAAGAGAAATACCCTTATACTCTATTATCTTAAAGGTTGTTGTTATACAATGTTGTGCTAGTTGTCTTGCACATTTCCATGTAAAATTCTTTAGATATAGAAAAAAAATCCTAAAAAGGGTTAAGATTTTTTCCTTTTATAGTAATCCAAAAAGGCATTTTGTTTAAAAATTTATTACTTGTATTGTACACTGTGTATTTTTTACAACGTTTTTGCAGACGAAGTTACTGAAGCATGGTTCAAGTGAAAAGTGCATGGCGATATCGCGGAACAAGGATAAGATTGTAATGGAGTCGTGCAACGAGGAAGAACCCCGACAAATGTGGAACATGGAGAATTTCAAAGTTGACCGGCTAAGTCCCGAACTACTTTCCGAGTAGCCGGAACCCTACGATGATGTGTTATTCATTTAAACATAAAGCAGAAGTTATTTTGGACTGCATTGAAATATAACAATTTCCAAGACTACATTAGTGTTTATCGGGAGTCACTTGTTGTTGATTGCATCGTGTGCTTTTATAGTCTACATGATAAGTTATAGCATTATTGACATTTTGGCGGCATAATAAACGTCATAGATATGAAAATGTGCAAAGGGCGAGTTTATTGACTTCAGTAGTGAAAATGACAAAGGAACTTTCTTAGCTCATCCTTTAAAGTTTACTTTGAAGAATTTTAATTATTATTTAAATTTATGGATTAGTAAAGTTCCTTTTAATTTATTATTTGGTGCTTTGTATTTATCCCCAAGTAACGGCTAATAAACCATTCAATGCCTTGGTATAAGGCAAGTAGTATTGTCTGTAGTTTCTTTCTTAAATCTAAATAATTAAAGCAATATCATTTTATTTGCTTGGTTTAAAGACAAATATTGAAGTAAAACCATACAATAAAATTATAAGCTACGTATTTGCTACGTTAGTAATGAAGGCGCTTGTAAAACAAAAATATAGTATTCTTCTTAAAGTATTAAATGTACTGAATATATATCGGTACGCATCTTATCCTGTACATATCTAATTACATATTTTTTAAATACTGAACTTTGAATTTTATGGGATAAAAAAAACATTAAATATAAATTTATTGATTGATCATCATTTGATGACTTTGCTTCTATCTAAATGTTAATGTGATTTCTATATTATAATAAATCCTAGTTGTAACTTTTATTCTAGACAAAATATATGTCTAAATTGTTTAGTAACTAAGAGTGTGCTCCTATGTTTGTAAAAAAAAGGTGTATTTTTGTATAGCTCACAAAATAGCGAATTTATTTGGATATTATTTTATTTTTGGTATTTTAGAAAGGAAATTAAAAATGACTGAATATTTGAGTAGAAAGTCAAACTAAGTTTCATAAATTTATTCGATTTAGGGCCGATTTTTCATTCCTTAGATAAAGTTTGTGCAAAAAATTAAATATAACATTAACAAATTAAAAATAACAGTTGAATGAATAAAATATTTTAAATATTTCACTATCATATTCAATCAGGTTATAATTTATTCGACGGATAATTGACAATAACTTATCTGACGATAGAAAAATCAACCTTAAAAATTATAAACGTTGCCGTTAAAAAGTAACGAAAACATTAAGTCTTTTCTTATTTAAGTACTAATTTTTAATTTTAATAACGAGTTTATCAAACTAGACTAAATTGTTTATGCAAAATGATTGTTTTGAGGTTGCTACAAGTTTGATGAATAAAAAAGATGATTCGTTTCGTAAATAATCAGAAGTAAAACTTGGACTAAAGTTATACCAAAATCTTTTTACTTTCCAAATCGACAAATTTTCGTTGCCAGTATTTAACTTTGTTGTTTTCTTTAATTTTATTATAGCGACGCCAATTATGTAATACCGGTCTTCCCATCTAGACTTGTGTCAATTTATGGCGTTTTTTTTTTTGTATATAAATGGAAGTTTCGATTTAATTAATATGCCCATTTAAAAGTGCATTTTTCTTTACATTGTTGTGTGATAAAGATTTTTATAATTTAGATAATGTTAGCGTTATTTATTTTCTCTTGACATATCTGTATAAATTTACTTGAATTAATAGACATGTGTATAGTTGTTTAGACTTAAAATAACGGCGATAAATGTGGATTATATAAGTAAAATCTTTTAAATCTATTGTTGTAGTTAGACGACGTTTAGATAAACCTCAATTTGTGGTTATTGTATATATAATTATGAGGTCATTTTCTGTTTCCCTACTATCCTTTTTTAAATTTATATTATAAAAATGATCGTTCAAGTAAAACGAGCACTGCCAAATAAGTCGTAATCGAAATAGACTGCATACTGATATAACTAATAACGATATTGGATTGTAGTGTAAAAAAATTGTACCATTTTTCAGTTTCTGTAAGGTTGCGGCTTATTTTGAAAGTATATTATGGTGTTAAAATAATTAGCAAACTAATAGTTCATAATTCGTATTGAGATAGGAAAATTTTAAATGTGCCTTATATCTTTACGTAATAATAATATTTGAATGTTGAATATCTGTACATAATGCAATGTCTCCTAGTGTATAATATTATTATAGTATTATATCTAGATGGCGATACTATAGTCTTTGTAAAATAAAGCATTATGTTTGATTTGTAAGCTCTCGTTTTATTTCATCATCACAGCCCGCCACAAGGCCACTGCTGAACCTATGTTCTTCGTAAGGCCTATGCCTTCCCCAGGAAATGATGCTTTTTGATACTTTATCCTAATATCATTATCTAGATTGCTCAAGGGCTTTAAAAGGTGATTTACCATCATAATCATAATTAAAAGAACAGAACATCACATAAAGTACTTTATTTATTTTGATAATTAATAATGTAAAATTAAAAATTTTGTACTGCCGACTTCAATATAATTTATTAAGAATAACTCAAAAACTATTGGCCTGACCTTGATTAAATTCACATGGGACCACACGAGAAGTACCAGCTTTCAAATAAAAAAAGAATTATCGAAATTGGTTCACCCAGTAAAAAGTTATGAGATAACACATAAAAAAAACATACAGTCGAATTGAGTCTGCAGATAAAAGACGTAGGTAGGACGTATTCGAAAATAACCTAAAGCTTTTAATTAAAATTCGTAACATTTCCTAGTTTTTATTTTATTTAAGAGAGCTAGAACTAGTTTTTATTTTATAGAAGATTGGAAATGATTCGATTCCATTAAATATTTTACTAATTATCCACAATTCGGTTAAAAGTTCCTCCTGACACTATGTAATAAGTATACACACGTCACTAAAATTGCTATTAATATTAAGCAGGCGCCACTACTTTGTTTTTAAATGACTATTTTGTTATAGTTTTGTATTGATTTTTTAATTTAACATCTCCTTTTAAGCTCCAGCCTAATCTTATTAACTTGAAATAGATTTTCTATTTACTAAAGTCAGTGTAAACTTAATGAGACAGAAGATACTAATATATTTATTTTATTGGGTTCTAATGAAGATCCCGCTAAAGGTAAATTGTTCATTAACCAATTTAATTTTCATCGAAACATCCAGCAAAATTACTTTCATAACCTTTGAAATTTAAAATAAATCTTTAAAAAAAAACGTATGTTTTTTTCAGCCTCTTTTCATTCATCACTTATTCATTAGAGTTTAGAGCCTATCAATAGTTCCATTGCAAATAATAGGTATCCCCCAGATTTCCTCATAGTAGGGTTTTTGCCGTAGCTGCCACGCCTGGCAGTTTTTTTATTTTTTCGTTTATTATCAGAAAGATTCTGCTGACCATCTCTTGCTTCAGTTTCTCTCTGTCGCCTCTTACGACACCATGACATGATTTGAAGATATTCTTACGCCACCAATACACAGCGATTTTTCACTTTGTTAATTGTATTTTATTAACAAATTAAATGTATCTAGTTTTCTTCGTTCTTTATTCACCGATGACAGAATTTTTTATTGATACATATTTTCTACCGACTTGAAAAAGGAGGAGGTTGTAAATTCCTCGGAATCTTTTTTTTTAATGTTACTCGAAGACGCCTGAACCGATTTGGAAAATTCTTTTTTTTGTTATAAAGGATATATTCTCAGGTGGTCCCATTTAAATTTTATCAAAATCGGTCGAGCGGTTTTAAACAAATCAACAATAAATTATTTATATTGAAGTCGGTTACAAAAAATTTTTCAATTTTACTACTTGTAATAGAAATATTATTAGATTTTGATTTTGATTCAAAGACGTCTAAAGAAATCGTTTATTGTTTCTTTTTCATACATCAATAACTTAAATATTCCTAGATTGTATTGATGCTTTTTCTATAAAAAAATATAAATTTCTGATCAGCGACTTCGAACGACGATGTGACGAATTCTACTTTACAGTTATAAATTCTTGTCAAATTTTAAGTTACAGCCTTTATACTCGTACATTCCAATTCTAGGCAAGGACCTCTCATTTCATAGAGGGATATTGCACTGCATCACTGCGATAGGTTAGTAGTAATTTTAATAGACTTAAGTAGTTTAGTAGTTTTTTAATAGACTTAAGTAGTTTTTAGTAGTGCCGTGTAGTGGCGGTCAAGAATATCCACTACCCCATATCCTCCCGTGGGTGTCGTAAAAGGCGACAAAGGGAAACAGCCAGGAGATGGGCAGCAGCATCTTCCTGATAATAGCCAAATGACAATAAAAAACTGCGGTTGCCAACCCGCTCGCCAAGCGTGGCAACTATGGCAAATACCCCCCAATGATGAGAGCAACAAAAAAACGGCCCCCAGTCCCCGGCGGCCCCGCTATTCCTGGCTACGGTGGCGACCATGGTAACGGCGGGGCAGGGGGTGCTAAGAATCTCCGGTGGAGGTTCGTTTGCCACCTTAGACGACTCGACCTGGTAACGTACAACGCACGCACCCTGAGGACTGACGAGAAGATCGTGGAGCTGGAAGAAGAGATAGACAAGTTGCGCTGGCATATTTTAGGATTATCTGAAGTCCGAAGAGAGGGGGAGGACACGGTAATCCTCGAATCAGCAACTTGCTCTATCACCGGGAGGGCGACCATCTGTCCCAAGGAGGTGTCGGATTTATCGTCCACAAGTCTCTCGTTAACAACGTTGTAAAAATCGGGAGTGTGTCGACGAGGGTTGCGTACCTTATACTCAGAATCACCAAACGGTATTCGCTGAAGGTCATACAGGTTTACGCACCAACCTCGGCACACCCCGATGAGGAGGTGGAGGAAATGTATGAGGATATCTCTAGAGCCATGCATTCCTCCAAAACCCAATATACGGTGTTAATGGGAGACTTCAATGCAAAACTAAGCACAAGAGAGAACGGTGAGCTGAAAGTAGGGAAATTTGGAATAGGGCAACGGAACCCAAGGGGCCAGCAGCTGGCCGACTTCATGGAGAAAGAGGGACTCTTTATGATGAACTCTTTCTTCCAGAAGCGGCCCCACAGGAAGTGGACCTGGTCGAGCCCCGACGGTTCCACAAAAAATGAGATTGACTTCATTATGACGACCAGACGACAACTGTTCAGTGATGTCTCCGTGATCGCGAGGGTGAAAACTGGTAGCGATCACCGAATGGTTAGAGGCACACTGAACCTAAACGTTAAGTTGGAGAGGTCTCGTCTAATGAAGTCAACGCTCCGTCCCCCTCGTGCTCTGTTTCAAAGTCCCGAAACCTTTCAGCTCGAGTTACAAAACCGTTTTCAGTGCCTAGAAGACTGCAATGAAGTGGACGATATGAATGACAAGCTCGTGGAAACTGTCCATGCGGTTGGAGCTAAGTTCTGCAAGACCCGCCGCAGAAGAACACAAAAACTCTCCGATCACACTCTTAATCTCATGGCTGTTAGACGGGAGATGAAGCTACATTCTTCAACAGACTTGACAGCATACAGGCATCTGAACAGACAGATCTCCAAATGCATGCGGCGGGACTTACGCAACTTCAATACAGCTCGTATTGAAGAAGCGATCGAGCGGAACCAAGGCTCCAAAGTCTTTGCCAGAGATCTGTCTGCCAGAAAGAGCCAACTGTCAAAGCTGAAGACAGAGTGTGGCAGCATCGTTTCCGGGACACCTGAGATTTTGAGTGAGATTGAGAGGTTCTATGGGCAGCTGTACACATCATCGTTGGAGCCACACGCAAGTGTGAGTAACGATCCAAGAGCGAGTCTCATCCGACACTATTCCGAAGATATCCCGGATGTCAGTCTGAGCGAGATTAGAATGGCTCTCCAGCACCTTAAAAACGGTAAGGCCCCAGGCGAGGATGGAATTACAGCGGAGCTTCTGAAAGCGGGTGGAAGACCGGTACTTGAAGTCCTTCAGAAGCTCTTTAATTCCGTCCTCCATGGTGGCATTACACCGGAGGCGTGGAGCAGAAGTGCGGTGGTCTCGCGCGCAGACTTGACGACTTTCAGCCTCCCGAACAAGCCGGTTTCCGAAAGGGCTTTAGCACCATAGACCACATACATACCCTTCGGCAAGTTGTACAGAAGTCCGAAGAGTACAATTTGCCACTATGTCTGGCGTATGTGGACTATGAGAAAGCCTTTGATTCCGTCGAAATTTGGGCGGTGCTGCAGTCCCTTCAGCGGTGCCAAGTTGACTGTCGGTATATCGAAGTGTTGAAGTGCTTGTACAGTAGGGCTACGATGGCTATCCGAGTACAGAACCAGAGTACGAAACCTATCCAATTGCAGAGAGGTGTAAGACAGGGTGACGTCATATCCCCGAAACTCTTCACCGCTGCATTGGAAGACGTTTTCAAGCTTCTGGACTGGAAAGGATACGGTATCAACATCAATGGCGAGTACATCACTCACCTTCGATTTGCCGACGATATAGTCCTTATGGCAGAATCGCTGGAGGACCTAAGCACTATGCTCAATGACCTCAATAGTGTTTCCCAACGGATAGGTCTTAAGATGAACATGGACAAAACTAAGATCATGTTTAATGTCCATGTCACACCTATGCCGATAGTTGTTGGGAACACTAAGCTCGAAGTTGTTGACGAGTATGTTTACCTGGGACAAATAGTCCGACTGGGTAAGTCCAACTTCGACCGAGAGGTCAATCGACGGATTCAACTCGGCTGGGCAGCGTTCGGGAAGCTACGACACATCTTCTCGTCAGACATACCTCAAAACCTTAAAACGAAATTGTACAACCAGTGCGTGTTGCCAGTGATGACTTACGGAACTGAGACGTGGTCCTTCACTGCTGGCCGTATGAGGAAGCTCAAGGTCGCTCAGCGAGCTATGGAGAGGGCTATGCTCGGAGTTTCTCTGCGTGATAAACTTAGGAATGAGGATATGCGCAGTAGAACCAGAGTGACCGACATAGCCCAACGGATTAGTAAGCTGAAGTGGCAGTGGGCCGGCCATATAGCTCGAAGAACCGACAACCGATGGGGAAGAAAGGTTCTCGATTGGCAGCCTCGTACCGGTAGGCGAAGTGTAGGGCGTCCCCCCACGAGATGGAGTGACGACCATCAGGTAAGACATGCAGGAAGTCGATGGATGGCTCAGGACCGTGTTTTGTGGCATTCTTTGGGGGAGGCCTATGTTCAGCAGTGGACTTGTGAAGGGCTGTAATGATGAATGATGATGATGAAG